CGCGTGGGTCGCACTTCCGGTCAGGGGCTGTGGGCAGAAGTCCCCATGCCAGACGTGTATTCCTGCGTTGTTTTGAAGCGAACCAGACAATAACCAGCCTTCTCGTCAAAACGCCGGGACTGAGGCCGTACCAAAAGAGTCGAGAATGGTTTGAAGGTCAGTTTTCACCTGCTCGCTTCGTCCGAGAAGAAAAGGGAAAAGCAGACGCCGTCGGACAACGATTGCTTGGACGGGAAGCACTTTGGGTTGAATTCACGGATACTTGTGGTTATCAGATTTATTTGTTTTGTTCCAACATGAACGCCAGAAAACCGTCAAGTTGTGCGGACCACCTGCGGACTACGTTCAATGCGTCTTCAAGTTCAAACGGCCGCCTGATCGTTCGAACTGTCGTCTGCTCTTTTAAACGTTTCTGCTTGTCGTCTGCTCTCTTAGACGACGCCGGCCCGTTGACCAAATGTTGGCCCGGTACTTGCTATAAGTAAGTGCAGGTCTCAAAAGACTTAAGTTTGAAGGTTGGTAAGCAGGCTCGATGTAAACAGTAAATACAAGGAGATGTTGATCATTGTTACCAGTGACCATCACTGACTTGCTATGCCTAATAGACTTGGTCCGATTCTGCTTGCGAGTTTTAGTATCGACGTCGACCATCTCAGCTGCGGTTCACGCTTTTGTAGCCCGAGCGGCGTCGCGACTGAAAATTGCGAGCGAAATCTCACCATGCGAATCAGGTTTTAGCGTACATACTGCGGCGTCCACGCGGAATGAATCGCCACATGTCACATTATTCACGCGAAGTTTAGCGCTGTAGCGAGCCTCGGTAATTTCGCTGACGCCGCTCAAGTAGTCAGACATCGCCAGGAAGACGTAGAATCAACAATTCGAACGCGAAAAAGAGCAGGGGGACTCACACCGACGCTGACAACATCGCATTTCAATGGTTTGTTTATGGGCGACGGCGATCTTCTTGCCCACACCCCCATCGCGCATGCGCGGCGCCGGTGGCGTCCGCTAGGGGCGCTCCGGTTTGTTTGTAAACCTAGTAATAGTTCATGCGGGGCTTAATGATGTGCTGAAGGGTAGGAGCCAGAACCTCGGAAAGCAGCTAAACGTGGGAATACGTAAGCTGAGGGACGTGTCTGAGAATGTGCATGTGGTTGTGTGCACCATTCCAGAAGTTCGGGGGCAGTCCGGGTTAACGGAGAGGAGGGTTGTCGAAGCCAACGGAGTAATTAAGGGTATGAGTCGACAGCTTCGGTACGACGTAATGGAAGTAAACAGAGAAGTGTACGAGGCTGGCTCCCGCCCTTTTGCAGATGGCATTCACTACAGTGAGGCCACGGGTTACAGGGTGGGGGATAGGATGGGCCGCACGGTGACTGCTTTTTTGGGGGGACCGAGGGCCCTGGGGGTACTGAAGTAACTGAAAACCCAACAAAGTCAGGAGAGGCACCCAGGGTTAAAAAGAGGAGAAAACGTAAGAACAGGTATAAAAAATCAGCACAATCAGACATTGGATATATTAACATGCAGGGTGGTAGAAATAGGTTAAAATGGGAAGAGGTAGAGGAGCAACTAAGAAAGGAGGATTTAATGGTGTATGGGTTTGTGGAAACACATCTCAGAGACATGGAGCAGCCACCTTGCAACCCTGACTATGTGTGGGAAGAATGCAACAGAATGGAGGGAACGAGGAAGGGAGGTGGAATTGGAGCATTTATTAAGAAGAATATGAACTTTCAAAGGATCAGAAAGGAGTGCGCCGAACATTTGTGGCTAAAAGGAAAAGTCGCTGGGGAATCAACAGTCCTTGGAGTGGTTTACTTATGGACAGGGACAGGTGCTAAAGAGGAAAACAGAAAAATGATTGATTGCATATCAAGAGACATTAGTGAACTAGGGGAAGGCTCCGAAATAATTATTATGGGAGACATGAATGCCCATATTGAGGGTCTGGATGGGTATACGGACTCAACTGGAAGCGTATTACTAGAACTGGTGGAAAAACATGACTTAGTATTATGTAATACCAGTCAGAAGTGTGACGGGCACATAACTTGGGAAACTGGCAATCTGCATTCAACCATAGATTACGTACTCATGTCACACAAAATATATGGTAAGTTACAAGTAATGAAAATAGATGAAGAAGGTTCCAAAAGTCTTGGTAGTGATCACAAACGTATTAAGCTGAATTTTGCCAGAGAAGTAAATGCTGAAACTAGACAACATAATTCAAAGCAAACTTTCTGCAGCGACAAAGAGTTGGAAATAGTTGTTGAAAGAATAGAGGCAGCAGTTTCAGGGCAACGGCATACAGATTGGACTTATGAGAGCCTAACTAGGCTTTTTTCTCTAGAACTAGACAAAGTTAAGAGTAAACGAAAGGGGAAGCAAGGACATAGACCAAAAAGTTGGTGGGACAAAGAAGTGAAGCAAGCGATACAAAAACGTCAGGAAGCCTCTAGAGAACACAGGTATTCCAAGCGTAGTGGGGAGTCCGAAACGGAAGTAAAAAGAAAATGGGACAATTTTGTAACATGTCGCCGAGAGGCATCCAGTTTGATCAATGCGAAAATTCAGAGAAAGGGTGAGGAATGGATGAGTAATGTAAGTAAGAAAGATAGAAATGCTGCCAAGAAGTTTTGGGAGCACTTGAACTCACTCGGTGAAACAACGCAAGCTAGACAGAGGTTCATACTCTCGCATCAGGGAGATCAATTAGAGGGAGATGATGCGATACAATATATAGGAGCAGTGATGGAGGAGAAATTTCGGGAACGGGTACATGTGGAAGATAGGAGAACCAAAGGAAGTAGCAGTCCAGTTTGTGACATCGCGGATTTTGGACAAAGAGAATGGGAAAAGGCGGAACGAAGAGTCCCTAGTGGCACGTCGACAGGCACAGATGGTATCCCTATCAAGCTGGTGAAGAATTTGGGTCCTAAATCTAAGGCAAAACTAAGGGAGGTAGTGAGTACCATGATAACAAAAGGAAATATTCCAGATGAATGGAGGCTTAGTAGGATGAGTATGATATATAAGGGAAAGGGAGATAAGTCTGATATTAGGAATTATCGTCCTATAACCGTGACACCGGTTATTTACAGGTTGGTAATGCAGATTATAAAGAACAGACTGGAGGAATGGGTAGATTGCGAGGGCATACTGGGCGAGTTACAGAACGGGTTTCGAAAACAAAGAAGGTGGGAGGACAACTTATTTTCTCTAACACAGTGTATAGAAATAGCGCAAAAAGAAAACAGACAGCTCTGGCTGGCATTTCTGGATATCAAGGGTGCCTATGACAATGTGAACCAAAGAAACCTGTGGGACATAATGGAGAACTTAAACCTAGATGAAGGACTAACAGCACTATTAAGGAACATTTACAAAGATAACAAGGTGATTATAACATGGGAAGGAAAGGCGACAGGGAAAATAGAGATAAGACGAGGCCTTAGGCAGGGGTGCCCGTTATCGCCTTTGCTGTTTATGTTGTATCTGAGAGGATTGGAGGATAGACTAGAGAAGAGTGGGCTTGGGTTCAACCTTTCTTACAGTAAGCTAGGCCAAAAAATTCAGCAATCCTTACCGGGATTGATGTATGCGGATGATATTGTACTAATGGCTAACAACAGGACAGAGTTGCAGGAATTAATGAGCATCTGTGGTAGGGAAGGAGAGGAATTAGGTTTAGAATTCAGTAGCGAAAAATCGGCAGTCATGATTTTTAACGAGGATGAAGTTGAGAGGCTGAAGATACAGAATATTACAGTTGAGAGAGCTAGTAAATACAAGTATCTAGGAGTATGGATATGTGATGGTGCAGAATATCTCAGAGACCATGAAAAGTATATAATAGGTAAGGGCAACAGAAATGCAGCTGTAATGAAAAATAGAGCACTTTGGAATTACAACAGGTATGAGGTGGTGAGAGAGATTTGGAAAGGGGTCATGGTGCCTGGCTTGACTTTTGGAAACGCAGTGCTATGCATGAAATCCGAAGTGCATGCGAAACTAGAAATAAAACAGCGCGGAGTAGGTAGACTGGCTTTGGGGGCGCATTGCAAAACGCCAAACCAGGGAGTACAAGGAGACTTGGGATGGGCATCATTTGAGAGCAGGGAAGCGGTGAGCAAGGTAGAATTTGAGGATAGGTTGAGGCTAATGGATGGGGAGCAATGGGCACGAAAGGTTTTCAGCTATTTATACATGAGGAGTGTAGACACAAAGTGGAGACAGCGCACTAGGAAATTAAGAGGAAAGTTTTTGGGCTATAGCGAAGATACGGAAGAGCAAGTCTCAGTTAAGAAGAAAGTTAAGGCCACAGAAAGAGATCGGTGGCTAGAGGGAATGCAGACAAAGACTGCTCTGGAAAGCTATAGATTAAACAAAAGAGTTATTGCCAAAGAAAGCATTTATGACAATTCTAGGGGAAGCTCATTGCTGTTTGAGGCAAGAACGGGTGTTCTGCGAACCAGAACATACAGAGTGAAGTACCAGGAAATTGATACAGTGTGCACTGCTTGTGGAGAGGAGGACGAGACGGCTGAGCACTTGATACTCTACTGTAAAGGGCTTCACCCTATGCCTACCGAAGACAACATAGATTTAATAAAGTCATTGGGTTTTAGAGACAGCGAAGGGAGAGTGGATTTCAAGACTGTAGAGATTACCAAGCAAAGATTAAGTGAATGGTGGCAGAAATCGAGAGAAAACTAGGTATTTTCTTATTCACTGATGGCAAGGGGGTTTCATAGCCTCACTTTCTTTGCTCTGCGGAGTGAATATAGATTTCACATTTAAATATTCTAAGCTTAAATGGTAAAACAAAATGGCTAGGTGGCGTAAGCTACCGCCCGATCCAAAGGGCTCAGCCGTATTCATCCATCCATCCATCCAAACATGAGTTGGTGTATACTGCCGAGGCGACGCCAGTCAACAACCAACCCGATCAGAGCCGTATTGGCCGTATCATGTGACTGTCTTTTCGGCGCTGTTTGAACGTTGATTATGTTCTGTTCCTTCGCGTGGTGCGGCGTTTCCCCGTGTCCCGCCAACGACGAATGCCAGGCGGCCTGCAGCAACGGTGAGAGGGTAACGTTTGCTATGCTTTTTCTAAGGTTGTAACACGATTCCCCCGATGTCATTTCTCGAGTGTCAATTTCATACTTAGCGTGCAACGCTGTCAAAGCCACTGGCGCGAGCGTGGGGCTTGATCTCGTTGATCATTTGCACGCGTTTCGCACAAACAAAACCATAGAGGAAGCCACGCGCACGCGCCAGTAGCTTTGACAGCGTTGCACGCTAAGTATGAACTTTTTCTTGTTTCCCGACGTCAGGACGGCAACAGCAGACCGCATCCGCCGTAAATACTTGGACAAACATTTAACGCAACGTGTAACGTTGCTGCAGTTGTGCCACCCAGAGATTGCGTTTGTAGTGTTCCTGCCAAGAGCACGTGTGTGCGCGCGTTTTTCTGCGAACGGTGCTTTGACCAGCTTCACCGGATGACGTCGACGCTCGGTATCAATGTGTTTGCCTTTGTCTTGCAAGTAGCGTCAAATGTGCCACTGCACGAGACCCGTGTGTCGAGAGTTGGTCGTGGTGTCGAGCGGCTTTTGGAAGCAAATGGCGGCAAAGCGTCCGCTCGTGGCGCGTGTCGCGCGCGTTTCCACACCAATGGTTGGCGGTGCTTGTAAAAAAAACGCCTTTATCAACGGGCTTTATTGGAAAAAAGAAACAACCTCCGCAACCCGAGCGGCTAACTTTAGACGTAAATTCATAGGGACAGTAAAAATAGTAACACAGTGCTCGGCTGCAGTAGCGTTTGGCTGGGGCTCGTGTTCTCCAGTCGCCCGAGAGGGGGGCTCTTTTGTAGTAACTCCAGCCTGTGTGAACAATGCAGCATGCACCATACATATGACTAGCATTTGTTCAGCACAAAGGCCGAAGTGGGTCAAGCTTGTGTCCTCTGACGACCGCTTTCTGGAGGGATGCGACTGTTCACGTCCCCCCAACGTCACACTATTTATTTTTAACACTTTTTATATCACGTAAACAATCATGTCCACGGGCCCTGTGTTGGGTAAACACCGAGCTTTGGGGATAACAAACTGGAAGGAGTGCCCCCTATAGTTCGATCTCCTCGCCAGTAACGAAGGAGTTGGTTCTCTTCGCCTCCAGAATGACCTGTGACAGCGCACTTCAGGCACGTTTCAGCAAAAGCCAACGCCACCGGCGAGCACCCCAGAATAGACTGTTTTGGAAATATGCAGTGCCTTGGATCACCTTCCTGACGCAGTACGGCAATCCGATGCATGGCGTGCGAAGCCGACATATGCCCACGAATAGAAGGAAGGCTCCACATTGGTTTAGCTCGCAATTTTAGGACGCAAAGAAAGCAGAATTATGTCAAAAGTGGGTATGTGCCGGCTTTGTGATGCCTTCGCTCTGCTTTCTTTGTGTCCCGAACTCGCGGCTGTAAGGGAAAGGGAATTATGCCTCTTGCAGGACACAGAGCTTACGAGCCGGCCTGAGCACACGTCCGAACAGATATACCCTTGGCGAAACCCCGTCTAGCAACCTTGGTGGCCACCATTTGTTTGGCAGGAAGCACGCGATTGGATCTGAATCGTTCCTGAATGCTGGCATGGTTCTCTTTCTTGACACGAACAGAGCTGAGTTTACGCTGAATGCCGGCGGAGTACTCGTGTCTAACAGACGCTCTGAGTATTCGCTCAAACGATGGTGGACTCTGATAATTGACACAGCAGCTGCTAGATGGCGGGCACTTTTTAGAAGGGTCTATGTCCCGCACTATGCGGTTCACAAAGAGCTAGGCCTGCGCCACGTGGCCAACACTCGTCGCACCTTTCGGTGTCACTTATCGAAACGCCATGCTTTTGCTAGCTGTTGCACTTGCCCAAATCTTACGCCGACGTCCAGGGGGGAGAGAGGGCATCCCCTGGTGCGCCGTCTTTTATCCGACGGGCCGGGAGCTTTTTTCCTAGCCCCGCGGGGTGCGTATATACTCCGTCTCACTAAAACCGTGCAGTAGGGCCAAAGCTACAGAGGAGAGAGCGTATGTTAACCTGTTCAAGAGGAGGGGAAGGAGGAGCGGGAGAGAAGGGCTGGGATTCCCTCGTTCCTCCTTTCCCTCTTGAACAGGTTTAGGTACACTCTCTCTCCCGTAGCTTTGGCTGTACCGCACGGTTTTAGTGAGACTGCATATAGGAGCCATCTCGTGGCAGGAGTGCCCCACGGAGATGCTACCATAGGACCGGGTCCGAGGCGGGCTAGCCAGCCACCTTACAGGCGCCAATCGAAAAAGACTGGTGCCCCCGAAAAATCGCTGAAAATCGCTGCTAGGATGTGCTCCGTACTGCATGCACATTGTAGCCGAGCAAATGAGCCCGTTCGTGGGTCAAGGCATTTTGGGATTTGTGCGCTCGATGTCGCATCGCCCGTTACAAGTTTTGTGCCTTTACTTCCAGCTTCGCCGCAGATGTGTCGGACTCCTTCTAGATCTTCGTGCTTCTCATTTCTGCGACGACTCCAAGGATGAGCGGTGTGTCAGTAGTGAGTACGATGCTGCAATTTTTTTTCATTAGTGGCAATTCTAGCTAAGGGTGGCACACCACACGTACGCTGTGGTGGGTCCATGCTGAGCAGTGGACGGATGAAGCAGAATATTAAAAAGGAACTTTAACCCGGAACATAAAATTGATGCTGGTGCTGCTCAATCACTGCGCATCTGACATTTTTGGGAGGGGTTGTTCGGATGCCCTGGGACGGTTGTCTCGGGGTAGCTGTCTTGGTTCTTGCTTGGTGGGATGCCACCTCTTGTTTTGCTGGGACGAGTTATCTCGACATTAAGGGAACTCTCTCTTCTATTGCACAGTTATCCAGGCTCTTTCAGTGTTTTGGAAGTATTCTAAGGTTTGTGGTCGGTTTGACTGTCTTACGGCGACCTGACTGACTGTGTGATGCTCAGGCACCGAGAGTATGATAACATTGTCTATTTAATACATACTCAAGGAAAGCAAGGTGTTAAAGGTTGCGGAAAAACAATATACTTGGTAGAGCAACTCACGGTACTTGGTGCAACTACAAGCTCTGTTTATCCCTTGCTGTGGTTTGCCCAGACTGCATCCAATGATGTTATTGCCCTGCTAGAGTGTGCAAAAGTGCGTACCCTGCTGTATCCTGCTACATTTGAGGGATTGGTCAGAGATAATAAAAAAAGAAATTCGGAATAGGAATACAACTGAGATGCACATGTTTTAAGCCCAAAATACAGGTACCAAGATACATTTGTTCTTCATGTAACGTGACATCCCCGAGCTACTTGTACAAAAGCGGCGATAAAGTATCCCACAATACAGATACAAATACACGCAGAAATAAATTTTTTCCCAGTGGCAGGTGTGGAGGGAGAAGTTTGTTGCAAATGTAAATGGAAGTGCTTATGTTTCGGTGTCTGTTTTCAATATATCTTGCTTTCGTTTTAGGTTCTCGCCCTGTAGAGGCGGTTGTTGTTGTTGAAAACTTTGTTTCATTACAGATGGCATAGAAGGGGTGGAGGGATATGGAAGTAAACTGTTAGATAATATAAGTGGGTGCCCTTAGTCCAATGCTCCAATTGCAGTGTTGACTGTGACAGCTCTTCCTACATGCATGTGTTGCTTTTCGGCATCCTCGCTTTGCAGTCCTGCTTCCCACTTCTCCGTTGAAGGTCCTTCAATTGGTGTAAGGCCGGGTATCTGCCTGTATACCCATACTATACTCCGCAACATCTTTTCTTGGCAATGCAGTGGAAGGTACAGGCATGCGTTCCCTCTCCCATTTTGAACGCTGAATAAAGCCGTGCGCGGGCTTTCCTCCTCTCCCTGGAAATGCCTAGAAAAGTTGTCGCGGAGTATAGGTGGTGCATATCGGCCCATGGTGCGTTGCAAAAAAGACATCTCGGTGCGCAATTGCGTTCTACTGGTGTGATCATCGTGTCCGTTTGTAGTCTTCTCCAAAGATGTTTTTCTTTTTTGTTTAAGCCCTTGTGTGGTGGTAAAAATTCCCACCTCGCTTTACGTTGAGTCAGTAAGTATGTGTTATAAGGCATGTCTGGTGGTGGACCCTCACTCAGGGCATGGGGATGAGTCCTGGGCAAGAGCTGTTATGGCTGCAGCATTAGCTGCCCTGTTTTCTGTGTGCCCCATGTATCTGTCACAGGTTCGGTGAAAAAAGATATCCTATGCAAACAAATTTATAATTTTGATAGGACCGCTGACCGGACGATAGGTCCCTGCCCTGGTGGACGGACTTACTGTGAGGGTTGAGGAACGAGACGGAGACGTTGCGTTAAAATAAATGAACGATTTACTGGACTCACGTTCAAAACTGCAACACCAAACGCAAACAAAATAACAAACACAAGCCAACTCCTGCCTTTCTCACGCGCGGCGCTTTTACACATAATGAAATTCAAGAAGAAAAAAAAACTCGCACAGCCTTCTTTAGCGCACAGGGGCTACCTACATATAAAAGAAATGACCGACACAGCAACGGTTTACAGGCGTTGTCCACACTGAACACTAAACAAGAACAAACAAAAAAAGAAAAAGGTATAACAATAATCACACTCAATGTTATACAATTCTACGAAAGTGAGTGAAGCGAACCTGGGTCCGGAGAATGGTGTGGGTGACGCGGGCCTGTGCGACGCTGGTCGAAACTGGGAAGTCTGTACGCGCTTGGATGCTCCGTGAGATGCTCCTCGGCACCACACTTATCCACGAGCACGCACACTTGGGGGCCTGCAGAGCCGCCGCGAGGTCTTCCCGCATTCCGCCTTCTGCCGCACCCGCTGTCGCTCCCAACTTTCACGTCGTGTCCACCCCTTGGTCCAGCCTCCGCATACACTGACTTGACTTGGCTCGAAACCAAGCCGAGGTCCTCACTTTCCGGGAACATTTCTTGTTAAAATAACGACAACAACAACAACAAAAAAAAAGGAAGAAACCGCCTGAGTTGGGGACAGAACATTCTGCCGCACCCTCCTCGAAAGGGGACCTCTCCCACGGTTTTCAATTAGCGGGGGCCGCGAAACAGTACAAGCCGATGGCCCCAGCTCTCCCGCTCCACCCGCGGGGCAAGGCCCAGGGCGTGTGACGACTGGATGCGCTCTTTCGCGAAAACTCCAACAAAAGGTAAAAATAGTCGAATTCTGTGACATTATCCAGGGGCCCAAATGACATGTATCCCCATGATTTGGCTTTTCTTGGACGGCCAGCATGTATCCCCATGCTGGCCATCCTAAGATACCCTGGACATAATTCTTGTAGGCTTTCTGCAAGTCGATTATCACTGGCTCCGGATCTGCAGTTGACGGCGAGGGCAATGGCCGCTTCTTCTACTTGCTGCACCGATGCCACCCTTATCACTTCTCCGTATGCTTTTGTCACGGCAATCGTGGCCACCCCGTTCGGAGGACCAGAGGTGTCCACGTGTCCCCTCTCTGGTGTCCCGAGACCGAGCGAGTGCTGCAGTCCACACCTTCCGCTGTCCCTCGTTTCGCGTTGGGTGAATGTTTCATGGGATTCATCCTATTGTAAGCTTTTCTCGCATCTGGTATTTTATGTCCTCTGCTCCCTCGGTCTCTTGGGTGCCCCCAGAAACTGCCATCCCAAGCGTATCTAGAAGCTACCTTCTGTTGCCAGTGGTGTCCAGTCTCTTCAACTGCGAGATTATTTGCAAGCAGTGAGAGAGTGCAGGCGAGCTGGTAATTAATCGACATCTTGTAAACCCTGAGTTGGGGAACGATAAAAAAAACGGACGAGCACAACAAAATCTTAAACGCAGCTGCATTTTATTGATATGAGCATACCAATAGATAGACTTTCACACAAAAGGAAAAGAGAAAGGGCAAAAATAACTCAAAAGCAAAAAACAAGACGGGCAACGCGTTCACCCCAGACAGCCTGAGCCACTCCCCGGCTCCAACAACTTTCGGGAAGGGAGCCGACCACCCGAACAACAACAACCCCATGGTCACCACACATGGTGACCTCCAAACCGCTAAAGCCTAATCCCCATTTCCTACTCTAAGCAAACGCTTCCCGGTCCCCCCCCCCTTCTCAAGGTTTACAAAGCTCCCCTCATACAAGCAAAAACCAAGGACGGCTGGCTCACACAATTCCCCCGCTCGCGAATGCACAAAGTCTCCTTATTTGCCTTCTAAACAATTCTTTTTTTGTTACACAGAACGGAAGTTTCATCCCAAGGAGGGGAACAAAAATTACAGGAACTAACATGATTAACCAATTCAGAATTCTGCGCCAAATTCTTTACACACCTTTTATGCTCCGGAAGTCGGTCATTCAAACAACGCCCCGTCTGACCAACATAACACAATCCACAGTCAAAGGGGGTCTTGTAGACCACCTCTGCGACACAGGAGACAGTGTTTTTTCCCGCAACATTCCTCATGTCTGAAGGCAAACGGGGTAAGCTTGTCTAAACGGAAGTCCGTCCTAAAAACCACATTAACGTTAAATTTCACACTCAAGGCTTTTAGGCTGAGAAAAACCATGAAAATAAGGAATCACAGCAAAGGTTCTACCTTGAACCCTCTCAGCGGTCACCGACGCGCGTACAAGCAGTCTACGTGCACTAGAAACGATAAAATCTAAACTATAACCCGCCGACAGTAAATGTTTGATTTGAACGTCGAAAGCGTTATCAACACAATGAAAACAAGATTTCTTCAGTGCACTGCCAATTAATGATCTCACCACCCCCCCTTTAACCAGTTTAGAATGAGCACTCCATCTAGAAAGAGCCTTCTTTACGGTTTCCCTACCATAAGACCAGCAAAGCCCCCTTTTATTAAATAGTTGCAAGTCCAAAAACTGTAACCTCCCATATTTCGCTGATTCAGAGGTGAATTTTAATTCTGGTGCAGCGGTCAAAATAAAATCATGGATCTGAGTAGCAGAAAGCTGATTCGGAGCACAAACCAAGATATCATCAACAAACCTTCGAACCAAAAACCTTTCTCCACCCAAAGAGCCAACAAAATCTGTTATTTCCTTGTCAAGTGTGTTAAGATAAAACTCACTCAACACGGGAGCCACCGCTGAACCGAAGCACCACACCTTTTTGCTGTATATAACTGTCACCATTAAAGTTAAGCACAGTTGCCTTCAGATAGCACGTCAGGAGCTCCAGTACCGCATCTACAGAAATACCCGCTTTGGCCTGAAAAGAGGCTAAATTTTTTTCTAAGAGCTCCCTTACCCTTTCTAGCAACAACACGCTATCTAAAGAATAATACAAATCTTTGATGTCCGGGGACATCAACGTGTACGAGCTGCGATGCAGGGGAGAAATGCCCTCGATTAGTTCTTCCGAGTTCCTAAGGGCAATACTGCCCTCCAGATTGACATGGCCCAAACATCCCTGAAGGAAAACCGCCAGCGACTTTTGCCAAGAACCATTTTCGTTAATTACTGCACGGAAGGGGAAATCTACTTTATGATCTTTTACTAAGAACTTTAATCCAAAAGAAGAGCGTGAAGCGCCCCTCACTCTGTTTTGCGTAGCCGTGATCTCCTCCTCTGCCAAAATTTTACACACATCCCGTTTTAGCAACATTTTCATCATCATTTACAAATAACGCGGAAACAGCCACCAAAGCTTTCTCATTAAAAATACCATGCGAGAGCACTGCAAACAAGCCACTCTTGTCAGTCTGGAGCAGGGTTAAAGAATTATCTTTCAACTCCCTTTTCAAAACCGACACTCTCCTGAAATTTCTTTGCTCAACCGGGAAGGACGAATCTACCAGAACGCTCAGCTTGCTCAAGGATTGATTTACAAAAGTCGTTCTATCCTCTGGGGTAGGAATTTTGGTACTAATAGCATGCACGTTTGAGCACAAATCAAACCGTGACGGTTTCACGTCCAGGCAAAACTTTGGACCTTCATTTAAAATTGCTTGAGAACTCTGAGACATTACAACACTTTCAGGATTGAAAAAACGTTCCACAGAAGCTGATAAAGCTGACCTTTTCTTCGTCGAGTCTTGTTTCTTCAAGACCTCTCTTTTCTTGGCAGCCCACGAGGAACGAAAGCTTGCGAGCCGAAGAGAGTTCCAACCGTCGAACTCCACAGAACTGCGGAACCCCTCACCCTACACACCTTTCCACAACACATCAGCGAGCTCAAAGAGCTCGCGAAGTTGCTGACCTGCCACATTCCGAAAGGCCTTTAGGATCCTCTTCTGGTGCCGCCAAGGGAGATTCCGCTGAGTGAGATAGCCGAAAAGGCTGGGATCCACAAACTTCTCCCTTAGGCAGAGCCCAAAGTAGCTCACATCCGTCTGAAGGTCACTCAGTCGCTGACCGATCTTGCACAGCGTTAAAAAGTTGAGAAGGTGGTGGAAGGTTTGACACAAAAGAAGGAGAAGGGAAGACGAAACCTGCTTCAAGTAGTAGAATTGTAAGCAGTGAGAGAGTGCAGGTGGGCTGGTAATTAATCGACATCTTGTAAACCCCGAGATGGGGAACGATAAAAAAACGGACGAACACAACAAAATCTCAAACGCAGCTGAATTTTATTGATATGAGCATACCAATAAATGGACTTTCACACAAAAGGAAAAGAGAAAGGGCAAAAATAACTCAAAAGCAAAAAACAAGACGGGCAACGCGTTCACCCCAGACAGCCTGAGCCACTCCCCGGCTCCAACAACTTTCGGGAAGGGAGCCGACCACCCTAACAACAACAACCCCACGGTCACCTCACATGGTGACTTCCAAACCGCTAAAGCCTAATCCCCATTTCCTACTCCAAGCAAACGCTTCCCGGTCCCCCCCCCCCCCCCCCCCCCCCCCCCTTCTCAAGGTTTACAAAGCTCCCCTCATACAAGCAAACACTCTTTCATCCGATCACTGATAACCAAGGACGGCTGGCTCACGCAATTCCCCCTCTCGCGAATGCACAAAGTCTCCTTAATTAGCCTTCTAAATAATTCTTTTTCGTTACACAGAACGGAAGTTTCATCCCAAAGAGGGGAACAAAAATTACAAGAACTAACATGATTAACCACTTCAGAATTCTGCGCCAAATTCTTTACACACCTTCTATGCTCTGCAAGTTGGTATCGTTCCCCATCTCAGGGTTTACAAGATGTTGATTATTTGCTCCTCATGTAGCTCCTCCATGAGGTTGTAAACTCCCAGTCTGAGAAGCTTGTCCATGGCTGTTTGTTCCATCAATCCCAAGGCATTCTTTTATGCCTTTTTCAGTATAATGTTGAGCTTTCCCATTTGTGTTTTATTGAGCTTCAAATAGGACGTCCCGTAGGTCAGTCTTGCGGCACAAGTATCTCTAGGATACTATCGCGATACATTTCCGTTGCGATACTGCCTGGCCATGCTACATTTGGCCAAAAGGTGAGGAATTCGGGCAATACTGTGCCAAAACGTAATTGCACTTTATTATTATTGAACACACAAGTGACATGTGCCCTTCTGGCATAGAGAATGTTGACATGAAAGCTCATGCTCACTTGTGCGTGCTCACAACGTCCAGGCCAACACCATGGTTCATCTGCAACACCAAAGTCCAGTGCTTGGGTGTGGCAGATGGTTTCTACGGAAGGGATACTCATAGTGATGGGGGTAGCAGGAGTAGTGTCTCGCTGTTCTGCGCAGTAATGCGTTCCTCTATGCAGGTGAGGCGCTCCATGATTTGGAGGAGAAGATTTTCTACCCTCTCCTGCCACACATCAGCTAGGGGGATGGTTGTGATTGCTGCGGAAGGGGGGGGGGGGGGCGTAATGGGTTGGTGGGTGGGGGCAAGGTCTGAGACCTGGTGAGCTGCATCGCCCAGCTCACCTGCTGCGTGTCAGTGTAGTGCTACTTCTGGGCGTTCAGATTAGGAGCCTGGCCACTGGTGGCTTCTTGTTTGGCAGGTGCTCCGGCTGATGTATGTTGGGGCCCGGGCAGGCTTCCCCGAGGCTGCTGGCCAGGACTGGAATTTGGGCGATAGGCTGGGCAGGACTGGGAGCGCATCTGGTTCCGTTGTCGCTTGGTGTTACTGCAGTTACGGCCTGTGTTGCTGTGTCCTCCGTGCTGCGCCCTCCTAGTTGCGCGGCTGACGCGTTGGGTTGCCCGGGGTTTGGCAAACCGCTGCGGGCAGCTTGTGTCATTGGTGAGATGGTCGCTGTGGCACTGGGTGCACTTCGGTGTGCACACATGGTCGGCCGGGAAGTTGGGTACTGCACACTTGAAGCATATTTTTATGTGCGGCGTGGGGCAGACGTCGGCCCGATGCCGCGCCACCAGACATTTAGTGCAAACCTGTCCGATGGGCCGGTAGGGAGGCAGCGCTGGAGCATGCTCTGGTACTGGACGTACGGGGGGTCTTGCGTCCCTCAAAAGTGACAAGGGCCGTGCCAGTGTTGCCTAGCACACTTCCAAATTTTCTCCACTAGACCTGAGCTCGAGTTTTCCGGGGTGAGTGTCTAGCGTCAGCATATGTCCACGTGCTCACATCGATCACATGAATAGGTAGCGCTACTTTTTGTGATCAGTTAGAGTAGCTATGTGCTTCGTTTAGTTGGTCTATGAACAGTAGCAGGTTGAATACGAGCGAGAACAGCGAGAGACACATTCAGTAGAAAAGTGTCCGTTTGATGTCGAACTCACGACAATTACCTCACCGTGATACAAACCCTACAAACTAGTTTTACATCAAAGGCAAACCGAAGACGCCATCGGTACTGTTAATAGGTTAATGAGGCATCTGGAAAATGACTGCCATATGATTGTTCAATAAATATATAAATATCTAGTGCCCAGGTCCCTATACCTTAAATAGTCTCTCAACATTCCAACTAAAGATTTTTTTCGGAGGCTAACTTTTAAAGAGATTGTATAAAAGGTTTTGACATAAAAGCTCAAAATTGTCTTTTCCAATAGTGGGAAACTCTGCTCCAAAACGCGTTGTTCCGTGCTACAGGAGCTGGTCCAATTTGTCAGTTCCACCACTGCTTACCTATGTCCATGCAAACATGACATAGCTCTGTGATAGTAGGAAGGCTTCCCAGATTCGCCTATGCACGCAGGCTGGCAGCTTCTGGCAATTTCTTTGACCCGGGAAGCCCCACACCCACCACATAAAGAGCCGGTATGCCGTGTGCCGGAGTATTCTGAAAAAAGATAACAATTGCGTATCCACTCCTTTAAGATTTCTTGTTCAACTTGCTCATCCACGAGTATCATTTATTGTCCCTGATGCTCTTTTGTTGCCTGCCACATCGCGCACACACGACGCCACTAGCGTGTATGCAGGATCGCCGGTGCGTGGGTTCGCTCAGTGCAAGCGACTTTCAAAGCAACATACTCGCTCTTGTAGTTTCTGCTTCGCTCGCACTTCATGTGAAATAAAAGAAAGATGTGCTCAAGCGTAGACCCCCTTCGCACAGTGAAGGTTACAAGCGTGTACTCTTAGATTTGAAACGGGGCCTCATGTGGCTCGGGGTCCCATCCAAAAGTCGAGTGTGCGCTCGTAAATTACGCAGGCAAATCTGCACAAGTTGACAGAAAAGGCTGCCCATACCTGTTGCCGTCGCTGTGCTCCAGGTACATTGGTGTGTAATACCGCATGTGGCGGGCGTAAACCTCTAACAAATCCCTACGGAGCCACAATAGCGGAAACAACTCGTGCCGTGTGACACAGCTGTGCTGCACAGTGGGTTCAGTGCGGCCACCTCCGCGCAGCAAAGATCTTCATCTTGCAGTTTGGCCCCTTCTTGTGTAAATCGGCATTCACTGCAGCAACATCTATGACAACGCATACAGGATGAGGACAAAGCTAACTGAAATTAAATGGAATTATGAAACAGGTTCTCACCAGTCGTCATGCCTGTCCACAGACTGCCGGGCAAAGCCTGCGTCTGCATTGCCGTTAGCAGGCAACTCCAGCGGGTCAAACGCGAATGGTGACTCGCTGAGATCAAAATAAAAATCTTCTATTGCTTGATCAGAGTCACTGCTACTGTCATCGAAGTTAGTGGTCCAGCTTAAGTTTGTATTGGTGCTGGCACTCCTGCAAGTGCTAACCAGTGCACAGCTGAATGCGCCCAACCTGCCTTCCACCGACGTCATGCATTGGCAGCCCGAGATAACGAAACCTACCAACCAGAAGTCAAAAACCTGCTTCCATTATCGCCTTCATTTGATTTTTCTTAAAATGAACCAAAATGAGCTGCAGAACATCAAATACCATTTTAGAAAGGGCAGATCAACGGCATTCACATAACACCATCACCTTGGGTAGCTAAAAAAATTGCCAGAGTACCCCTTTAAGGCCTTCCAGCTCCATGTGGTAGCTGCCACCTGTTTCATTCGACTGAAATGAAATGGGGAGAATGTTCCGCTCTACAAACAAAGCAAAGATAAAGATGCAAATTCCGTTCATACATTGAGGACATTTGCGTTACTGGGCTAGTTACTCTATAGGCAGGGGTGGACATGTCCTACACGTTTTTTTATTGTATAATGAACCAGAAACGTTTGCTACACAGTGTATTTGCTGCTGTCCTATTTTGGCTTTGTCAATGGTGACAACAAATTATACAAAACAACAACAATGTAGTATTTTCGATGGGTCGGCCGGGCGGCCCTGAGACGAGTCCGATTGAGAAACAACCGGCCGGTAGCGTTCGGTGAACAACGTGGGAGGCGGTCTGTGTTTATTTATTCGTATGATATGTTGATTGCCATTTGGATTACTGTTCTGGATCAATATGTACATGTGGTGCCATCTGGCCATATTATAACACATTACTTTAATCGGGTGACAGGTTTTAAGACAAAACCCTATAGAATTTGTTTCACATAAATACATTGGTTTAAGGGCAACTTTTGCATTATGAACTTTAAACATTGTAGAAAGTGGAGCACATATAGATTTTCTGTACAGACTTGGACATTTTCGACATAGAGAACCTTGTTGGCCTCCACGTCGAACGTCGTATAGGTGCCATATTTGACGAAGTGACCTGGCGAATCTGCCCTTCCATCACCAGCGATGGTTAGCTGCCATCCTGCTGCAGCTGTGACCAGCTCCTTCTGATGCTTGTTCCACACCTGTTTTTCAAACAACCAATGTTTCTACTACATTACCAGGATCAAAACGAAGGGGAAGTAAAAATAAGTCTGGCCTCTTTATTGGGGTGTTTGCAAGCATGTATTAATATCGAGTCCTATTGGTTATTAATCTCGTGGAAATGCAGGTGAACGCTAAAGCTGTGATATCTTTTGAGCTTTGCTGATTTTGATACGGTGAATGTGCTTTTAAATGTGCCTCATACTGTGGCCCTTTCTGGTTTAAACAAATTCAATGCTAAGCAAAGCAATCATCAGTATGTCTGTTGATGTTGCTTTTTGGTATAAACAATTTTGATTGGCTAAGACATTTTATCTTTAAACTAGCTTCTCGTTAGGTGGGTGGGCGGATGGGTAGAGGCAGGCACTTATCCTTGGTGTTTACGCAAAGCGATGTGCAGCTTAATGTCAGCCTTGCCACCATGCAAAACGCTTACATTATACGTGCATGTGCGACAGAATCCATACATCTCTTCCTTCTTAGACGGCACGAAGCACGGGAATTCCACCGTGTAGGATTTCAGGAACACCTGAAAGTACCTCTACGTCCCTGTTTGAAAGCCATGCTGGTTAGAAAAGAAAGGGTTGTTAGTCATGAGATACTTCATAGTCTGAGAGTAAATTATGTGTTCCAGTAATTTACATGATACGCAAGTAAGAGAGATGAGTCTGTAATTTGTGAGGGAGTTGCGATTGCCGGATTTGTAAATAGGGATGACATGGGCCAGTTTCCAATCTTCGGGTAGGGTTCCAGTAAAACGTGACTTTTGGAAGAGTGCTCCTAAAAGTTTGCTGGATATGTCTTTAGTTGATTTCAGCAATTTTGTGCTTATTCCGTCCGGACCAGGGCTTGAATTTGTTGGCAGTCGATCTATTGCATTGGCAACTCCCTCACTGGTGATGATAAAAGTGTCCATTTTAGCGGACGTTGAAGATATTAACATATTAGTCAAGGGCATTTCATCCGTGAAGACGCTACTAAAGAAAGAGTTAAATGCCTTTGCTGTCTCTAATGTGCTCAAAACGCTACCCTCTTCTGAAAAAATAGGAAGGCATAAATTCTTTGGTTTAGGGTTCACTACACTCCAAAATTTCTTCGGGTTGGTTTTCAAAATGTTAGGTCGCTGTTAAAGAATTTAAGTTTGACTCTCTTGATTTCTTTTTTGCAAGACCTTGAATGTGAACGATAAGACTCCCAGTCGTCCTGGGTGTCCGAACGCTTGGCTTTTGAATAAAGTCTCTTTTTCTTATTTATACACCATTACACAGTTGTCGTGAACCAGGGATTACTAGCACATGGTAAAATAATAATTTTGGGGATACACATCTCTTTCACCTCAATCATTTTATTTCGGAAAGACACCCAGCTCTCATTTACTGACCGGCAATTCAACAAATTAAAAAAATCAAAAGAAAATTCAGACAACATATTTGACATTTTTTGAAGGTCGGCCCTTGTATAATTAAATATCTGTTTCTTCAGAATGTCACGTCTCTGAACTGGGGTAGTAAAAACACAATGTACCATCTTGTGGTCGCTGATATATTCTAAAACATTAACATCAATAGAGTGGAGATGAGTAGTTAGAACTAAATCTAGAATATTGTCGTTACGGATTTGCTGGCTAACAATTTTTGAAGCTAAAATGCTTCCACAGTATCTAGAAATTTTATACATTGCTGTTTGTTTCCACAGAGTTCATTGACTACTTTCATATTCCAGTTTATACCAGGTAAGTTAAAATCTCCTGTCAGTATGATGGGGCAGCTAGGGAATCTTGCTTGTACCTGTTCCAGACTTGCGTTTAAGTTTTCCACAAAATCAGATGAGCAGGTTGGGTGGACGGTAACACACACCAATCAAGCAAGACCTGAAATTTAACCACACCGTCACCCACAACATTTCAAGAGGGCTCGGAATATCAATGCGGGATGAGATTAGTTCCTTTTTAACAGTGATGATAACTCCCCCGCCTCGTGACGCGCTCCTATCTTTCCTGTACCGCCGAAAAGTTCTAGATATACAGTATAGACCACTTACAACGTAACCGCTTATAGTGCAGGACCGGGTATAAAGCGGTTTTTTTAAACCACCGGTTCGCCTCCCATAGAACTCCATGTACCGCTTAATGCAGGCGCACGAAGGGAAATGCCGGTTATAGTGCGGTTTCTGGAACAGCCCGCCGACCACACCGACGACCAGCGCAGCGAGCACGCTTCTCTGTGCGACACTAGATAACGGCGCTGACGGCGCTAGCCGCAAGCGGCACTCACGGGACAAAGAGGCTGCTCGAAGAAGCGGGGAGAAGCGAAGAGAGAGGCTTCAGTTGCCATAGCGACGGACGGACGCACGTGTCGTTCACGTGCGTGTGTCCCTCCGCTGCGTTGGAAAGGTTGGAAACAACCGCAACGACAGACCAATCGCAGGTCGAGGAGAAGTGTTCGCGCGCGTTGCATGCCGGCCGCGTGCCAACTTCTTCTATCCGCAAACATGGCGTCGGTTGTGATCGTCGACGTAGATGGCGTGGTGGAAGCTCATCGTTCCGTGTAAAAGCGCTATCCTTGACTGTGAATTTTCGTTGTGTGTCGCTATGATAACCCAGCACGTACTAGAAGGGAAGATCCACCTACTCGTGCGGCGATGTCGTGGCGGCACTCTCAAGACTGCAGAAGCGCCCGTGTCGTCATGTTTGTTTACTTCGACTACAGTGGTGCTTTCTAAGCATTTGTGTTTTCGAATATCGCCCGGATTTCTTATTTGGAGCACTTCATGCCTATGCTCAAGTTGAAGGTATTACTGGCGCGTACCGTATATAGGATGCAAATTTTCACGCGTTTTCATCATTGGAGAAAAGAGATTAGGGTTAGCAATCCTGAACGCTTGCAACGTCCGTCTGCAACCCGCGACGCCGTTAAAACTTAAAAGGCTGCGCCAGGCAAAAGTCGCTCATTTCTTTCAAAATGTGTGACACGCTTGAGAGAGAAGTGTACTAGTCTGGTGAAATAAAGACTTTCCTCAAACTAAGCTTTATTTTTCATCTAACATAAAATAAATTCTTTTACAAAGGTAAGTTGTCTCATGGCATGTATTTTGGCCTAAAATATTGATGTTTTGGTTGTAGCGCGGTACTGCTTATAGTGCGGATTTTCGCGACTCCCGCGACCTACGTTATATGCGGTCTATACTGTACTTAGTTCACAATCGGAGACTTCCTGGCTAAGCCACGTTTCTGTGCCCATAACTATATCAGCTGAACAGGCTTCAATGCTGGAAAGTAAATGATCTTGCTTCGGAAGAAT